TGACGAGCCCGAGAGGCTCGTGGGCCACTACAGTACGAGCCGAGCGGCCGAGCTGACGAGCCGCTCGGCTCGATTGCCACAACTAATGACAAGTAATTTTAATCGATTCCCATTTTATGTAAAATTTTGAGAAGTTTAAAGATGTTAAATTTTTTGATTATGTTGTATTAAGCTAATTGGAGATGTTAGCTATGTCTCTGAATGATTAATAACCATTTTTAACATCGAAATTTTAGCATTATGATGTATAAAATGTCTATGCATCGTTAATAATTCTTTTAACAGTTTTGAGGTTACATCCATATTGTTTAATGAAGTAGGGATGCAATTTAATTCATTAAAAAAAAAATGGCAATGATTACACTACTACATAGATTGATTTTCATCACCATCACGAATATCGATATTCTAATTGCAATGATCTCGATTCTAAACTTGATTACTCTTACTCTTATTGTAGCTCTTGTTATGAAGATGTTTGTAATTTGTAGCAGATAAAAATGAGTTACTGATAAGTACTAATTAGTATTTATGAGTTCTATGAAATGTGCCATGTTTGACAACCATTATTTTAAAACTCTTTAATTCTCATTCTTATTTTCAATCATATAAATCAAAATTTTTCCACTTTTTCATCATACGTTCTCCAAAAAATCACTATTCAAAACTCAATTCTCTCAAAATAATACAAATGGTAAATTTAAGTAAAATTATTCATAATTTTAATACCTTCCAAACAATTTTTTTTTTTTTTTTCACATAACAACATTGTAACGTAAATTAGTACTAAACACCACGAACATCATTCTTTCATATTACATTGCACGTGGCTGCACTTTATGCATCACATGTCTCCTCGGCCAAAGCCAAAACCAAAACAAATCCAAGGTTTTAAGAATTGAGTGGTCCCTTATTCACTTTTCTCGAACCACACACCAAAAGCCGACCATCGAAGGAAACCACCAAACCGACCCCATGATCTGATTTAAATTAATCAACTCTCCTTTTGGATTAAATTTCATTATCTCTACATGCGTGTGGCTGATTATATAATTAATGATTCCGTGCTTTTAGACCAAGCATTGTTGCATGGCTGTAAAGGAACCATTCCCCCTTTAATCAGGACACTGTTATCCTCTATCTTTGGTCAAAACAACATAATTCAAGAAATTAATATTGAAAATCTTGTCAATCTTCCCATTGAACAATTCTATTCCATGATTCAAGAGCATGTTTGGGGATAGATTTTTAGTAAATGAAATTAATAAAAGTTGGTGGGTCCCGTGAAACGTGCGATTAAAAAGTTGATAAAAAAAATATGGATGCAATGAAATGCGTGGTTAAAAATGACTAACTTTTTAATTAAAAAAAAAGTAGCTACACTGAGCAGGCTCGTGACTATGAGGGCCCCGTTTGACTAGATTTCTTCTTTTACTTTTGTTTCTTGTAAAGTAGTTTCTTGAGAAAATTGCTTAGACTTGCTTCCTCCAAAACATTTTCTAAACACTTCGAGAAAATTTTCAAAACTTTAAACAAATCTTTTAGTCTCAAAAACAACTTTTATGTTACAAAATACTTGCCAAAGGTGTAATGAGTCAATGGCTAAGTCGATTAAATTAATTATTGGTCCATCTCCCTTAACATGTTCTACTAGTATAAATAATAGATAGATACATAGTTATATAATAGTATTTTTTCAAGGAATGGAAGCCAGAATTTGTGGGGGGTTGCTAGCACGAGACAACATGCCTGTATTTGGTGTCCCTAATTATGTCTCTCTGTTGTTAACTTCCCAATTCTCCTACATATAAAATATGCACAGCTCAAACCCTCAAATCCCAAGTGTGAAGAGTAGCTCTCTAATACTTGTTCTTGATCTATTGAAGTCATCGGATTATCCGAGGTAAGCCTCTTTTACGACACTCAATCTTATCAAAAACTTGTTGGAGCAAAGGTATAATAAGCCCATGTTTTGTTATGTTTCGTTAAGTGTGTGTATCAGTGGTGGATCTAGAAATACAGGTGAGCACGAGTGGCCACTAGATAGTTGTTCAAGCAACTGTCGAGTGGCCACACAATACAAGGGAAAAAAATTCAATGGAGTCAGCACGGGCGCCCACAAGGGCTTGTCGGGTGCTAGCTCCGCCCCTGGTGTGTGGTACGTGCTACTGTATAGGGCTGAACGATGAACCATTCTAATAATGTCTAGTATTGTGCGAGCAATGGTAGAATGAGTCCACGCTTCATTGTGCAAGAATTCACGGTATTAATTATACTGTTTAACAGGGAATCTGACCACTCGAAGTTTTGAAGACGGACATAAAAGTTCATCATCGATTCAAACAATCGATTGCAGCCAAATAAACCCTATATAAACTGATCACATGGACAAAATTCAACAGCTGGATAAGAAGAAGAAGAATATGTCATACTGGCTTCAAAATGTAGAAGATCAGGATCATGATCATGACGAGGTGAAAGGAGAATCAAATTTACCTTCAGTTCCTCAACCAGAAACACCACAGGAGCCAATGGAATTTCTCTCCAGATCTTGGAGTCTTTCTGTCAATGAAATATCAAGAGCTCTTGCTAAAACGCAGATGCCACCAACACTCAAGAATCCATGTGTGATTCCCGAGCCTGTAATAACACAACACGTTGTAAGTTACTTATTTTGACGTCGCCGTGTTTTCTATAAAAAGAGTTAATTATTATTCGTGGGATTACTTTTAAAATTTCATTTAAATGCTATCTATCTAAACTGCTGATTATCACTAGATCTTTCCGTTTTTTTCCTTGATAATTTGACAATTTATTGCAGCCGTACAAGATCGCGATTCCATTTAATAGTCGCAAAACTGGAGCAATTGGGAGATTGTTTAACCACAAGGAATCTAACAGTAGTAACACATTGAAAAAGAAAGAAAAAGCGCGAATGGAAAATGCACGTATGCACACAGTTCTCTCTGTTGCTGGATTAGCAGCAGCCTTGGCTGCTGTCACTGCAACGGAAAATTCTGGCTCGAAAATGAGCATAGCCATGGCATCAGCCACAGAGCTCTTGGCTTCATACTGCATTGAGCTGGCAGAATCTGCAGGAGCCGGCCATGATCACGTTGCCTCTGTCGTTAGATCTGCAGTAGACATTCACAGGGCAAGCGATCTAGTAACTTTGACAGCAGCTGCAGCAACTGGTATCTAGTTTATTACTTCTACAAACATATAAGAAGCACAGACATGAACATGACACGACAAGAATATGCATATAGTGATTTTTTCAAAAAGTAGGACACCGACGGCGATTTAAATTCTTTAAATTATATATTTAAATATTATATGTTTATATTTCAATAAAATCAATAATTTTTTAGCTGTAACATTTCCCCTGAAATCTTTGGAATTAGAAAATCGGCTATTTGTCGTAAAAGAGCACTTTGGGAAAAAACTTACATCACTATTGGGAAAAAGATATTTGCAGAATTTTTTTCACATATTTGTGACTTTTTTACACAAATGTTTTAATGCATAAAAATTTCTCTAATTATATATTTTGAAATTCATGACATGGGACTTTCTGTGTCTTTTACGTGTCGGGGTAATGTTCGATGTGTATTAGATTTGTAAAGATTATGTAGAATATTGGACACGTCCACGTGGTGTGCCAAACACGTACCCTGAAATGTTCGTAGTGTCAATGTCCATGCTTCGTAGACAAATCTCAACACGACTCTATGTTCATGCTTATTGAATATACCATATGTTTTCTAAGTTAAATTCTTCTAATATTTTAATTGAATAGCTTTGAGAGGGGAAGCAGCTTTAAAAGCAAGATTGCCAACAGAAGCAAAGAGGAGTGCAGCTGTAAGTCCATATAGAAAAGACATAGTAGATACTCATTCTTCTGCAACTTTACTTAGTCAAATTGTAGAAGAAGATACTCCCTGTGTAGGAGACTTACTACAACACTCAAGTAAAGGTAAAATCTTATCTATTATACATCCACTGCGGTCTAATACTGCATATCAAAACGTGTACTTAACAGAGCTCAACAGCGTTGATTACAAAATAATTTACTTATTATTTGGATTCTTAGGTGTGCTAAGATGGAAAAATGTCTCTGTTTACATCAACAAGAAATGCGAGGTACATAACATGTATAGATAGATAGATACATATAACATATATGCATATTGGAGATATGTGATTCTTACAAAGAAAATGAATCCTATGGCAGCTTATAATCAAGTTGAAAAGTAAACATGTTGGAGGAGCCTTTTCCAAGAAGAATAAATGTAAGTTTTCAACTTTTGATGAATCTTGTGAAGGATTCTTTGAGCAAAATAGCAAACCATGGTCGAAACCCGCCTCTTTCCAAAGCCTTGTTTCTTCTAGCAGTGTTATTTATTTTATCACTAACAAGAGTCAAGACAAATGCTAGTTTTACTTTGGCATAGACACTCTAATGCTCAAGTCAGCCAACATCCTTGAAAATGAATATGGTGAAGATATAAATTACTCATCGTATCTTTTTTAGTGAGTCGATCTTCTTAATTCTTTACAGAAATCACGACTTTTGTACTACTCCTTGTCAAAAAGTTTCCCGTAACTTAGTTCCACCATCTCTAATATTTTTTCATGGTAAACCAGGTATTGTTTATGAAGTCATTGATGAGAGTGCAGCATGGCCATTTAGAAAAGAAAGGGAAAACATGGAATTGTACTTTGGGGTGAAAACTGCACAAGGCCTTTTGGAATTCAAGTGCAAGAACAAAATTCATAAGCAGAAATGGGTTGATGGAATTCAAAGACTTCTTCAGAGAACAAGTTGCATTGAAGAAACTGAGCACACACGAAGAATGTTGAATATTAACAAGAGCATTAAATAACTTTTGGCCCCATAGATTTTCTCTTAATCTCTTACAAGTAATTATAAGTTGCATATTGTAATTCAAAAACAATAGCCTTTGCTTGCAAAAATTGTGTCCAATTCTGTCAATAGAATTAGAAACTATGTTAGACTTGATGTGTGTAAAAATACAGTAAATAGTGTTTTCAGTTGGTTTGCATGATATTCAGCTTGTACTTCTCTGTATTCTCGTTAATTAAAGCAGTTTTTAAGAATGAGCACTTAAACAAGAGAAAAAGCAAATTTCCACTCTTTTTTTGGTTCTTGTGGGATTTGGGGCATAAAAGGGGACTATATGTATTTTAAAAGTAAAAAATTAGACCAAATTAGAGTGTTCTTAGTTCAGAATAACTTAATTTAGCCCTTGTTTGAGCCCCATTTGAGTTAAAAATGTATTTAGGAAGTGATTTTTTGAAGAATGTGTGGTTGAAAATGAATTTCGAAAAAAATGAATCTTTGGCAAAATGAGACTCAAACAAGGGCTTAATTTTCTCTTCTGTCAACTAGACTGAATTGACTGGATTGATTTTGGTCCGATCAAGTACAAGTTTTGTGTGTTATGCCATCTCTAAAGATGGTAAACGGAGAAACAAGATTCGAAAAATGCTCAAGCTTGACGAGAGTTTCTCCATAAAATATTTGGTTGCAAGATCATCATAAGATTGAGTATCCATCTCTTATGAGAAAAAAAGCGAGTGATCCGTTGCATTCATGCGAAGCATTGGTCTTCGGAAACAATCCTTCCATAAAGAAGTTCCAAATCGCTCAATTGTTGGGGTGCCCTTCAAAAAAGGTTACTTACTATTTAAATGAAAAAGACTTCATCCCCAAACCTTTTCTTTTACATCGTCACCTTACTCATCTCAGCTTCTTTCACACTCACTTCCTAGGTGCCAAGCTAGAGCACCGTTTTCTTTGGAATTGCATCCCACATCTCTTCCCTTTCTTTCCAATGCGTCTTCTTACTATCTAATGTTCAAAGGCCATGTCCTAGGAGTCTCTTGAACTATTGAATAGGTGTGTTTAGTCTGAATTTTTTATTACGACTCCATTTGAATACAATTTATAATGTTGTTTGGGAGCAATTTTTGCTTGATTTTAATAAAAAATCTGACAGTTTGGCAGTAGCCCTTTTTGACTTCTTCCTCACATCAGTGAGCCCCAGGTTTCTTTTTAATGGTCAAAATATCAAGATTTTGGACCAAAGAATCGGTAACGGACATGCGCTATATACTGGTTTAAAATTTCATTTAAAGTTAAATATTAGTTTCAACTATAACTGATATTTATTTATTATTTACACATTTTGTGAGGCCAACTATTATTCTTGTTAAAAAATTACTAATATTTTTAGATGAACAGGTGCTATACTTAAATAAATTATATTTTACTTAGATGTGTTTGAATCACATTATTTTGGAAGAATGTATTTTGGAATAGTTGATTAATGAAGAATGTGTGGTTGAAAAAGAATGAAAAATTATTGATTGATGAAAAATATTATTTTATTGAAGAATGTATGGTTGAAAATGAGTAAAAGAATGAGAAAGAAAAAATAAATTCTGCACGGACTTATTTTGAAATAAGAAAGCGTGTGCTTGAAAGTTAAAACCCCCCTTCATCCTCCCCTCCCTCTCGCAACACTTACACACACTGATTGGGGAAGAAGAAGATGAAGTGGAGGGATTATCAAACACTCCCAATTCTCATTTCCAACAGATGCATCAATAATCTCTATCAACGCCACCGTCTCTACTTCACTATCTTCCTCCGCAAGGTACAACCCACTCAAGTACGAGCCTACGCCAGCAGTGGTGGCGCTAGCGGGAGCAATGGCAGTCGCTCAGAAGGTGCAACTCGACCGCTCCACTTAAATATATTAGGGAAAAGAGTTAGTCCGAATACTGCATATGTTNGGATCCAGTAGTGAAGCTTGCTGTTGATTTCTCTGCAGGGAATTCTTTCTTGGTGCCTGGGGCAACTCTGGCAACTATACTTATGCTTGGTGCTCTCCATGCACGCCATATATATGAAGATAAGAAGGTAGGTTTTAATGCATATTGCTGGATATGGGATGCAATGTTTATCTTATGACCATTTTGTGTTCTGTAGAAGAAAATGTGATCCCAAGGAATACGCTATTTTCGCATATTATCTTTATTAATTCTTGTGCCTTATATCCTTGTGATCAGTAAACCCCGTTGGACAGGTTTCATGGGATTCATTTTCATGAATTTTCACTAATAACACACGGTCATGGATTGTATCGATGCCTTCACACACGAATTCAGTTCATAGTTGATGGGATCTGGACTCTATTTGGATTGCTTTTTGTACAACCACAATGAAGGGGATAAAAGCTCTGACATGTTTGTTTAGCTTTGAGTCGATTGACGTATTAAGTCGGTGTGCAGAGTAAAGAAAGAGAAAAGAAGAGGTCTATTTTTAAGTTTTAACAAGTCTTCTGTTATCTTTTTCCTGCAAGCAATATGTCTATTAGATGAGTGGGAGTAGAACATCTTATTCCCATTTCTCCATATCTTGCCTAATTTATTATTCCTTCCCGAACAAATAAAATTTTGTAAAATTGGTTATCCTAAATGTTCTGTACCTACCTTTCCAGCTGAAGTTTACATTTTCATTTACTAACGGCTTTAAATTGTTACAAATTATAATTGTGATTCAGCTGTGTGTTTGGTTTATGCATGTTTTATAACCAAAAGTAAGTGAAAACTTGGGATTTTTGAGCATAAAACATACTCGATTAACTACCAAGGTCACTTTTCTTTGCCTTCTACTGGAGAATATCCGCTTAGTATATTTGACCAATTTTTCACTGTTGATATCTTTTCGCTTGAGAACTATATCTATCTTCTAATTATTTTCTATTCCCTCTGATTATAGTCCAGTTAGGCATACTGGAAATTGCTGCTGTGATTGTTCCTAGGAAGTTCAGCCAGATAAATTAGTGTTCTTTATACCTGGAGGCCTGGCATATTTTCTGTTGTAATCTTGAAGTTCCTTCTGAAGCTTTGCCTTAGCATCTTACATTATATTTAGTCTCATTTCGGTTTCATTTGCTGCATTGTTGATTTGGAACTTTTGTTTGAACCTATCATATTATCAATAACTGTCAGAAATATATCTTATTTACCAATACATGCTTATTGTCTATATGTATATTCTTATTGATAGTTGTATCTTCTCTAATATTTGAGCATCAGATTGAAGAGGCAAGGGAAAAAGGAGTTGATTTGGAGTTCCACCCTGATGTTAAAGTAATTCCATGTTTCACATGTAAATGATACAAGATATCGTAAGTTTCTTAATTCGGACTTCTTTTCTTGACAAGTGTGGTGAGTGTTTGACATTAAAATTAGCAAATATATGATGGAATTATATCAACATGATAAAATAATGTTTTACCAGGAATTACCCATTTGGCTGAGACCATACATGTACAAAGCATGGGCTCGAGCATTCCATTCTAGTATGATTTCTCATTTCTCAATATAATCGACGAACAGTTGATCCTTTTTATGGTTGTGCAAAGATGATAATTTTCTCCAATCTTCTTATTTTTATATTATAGACTTAGAAGAAGTTGGTCTGCCTTTGGAAGAATATGCATCTCTGCGGGAGTTTTTTGTTCACACATTGAAAGAAGGATCAAGAACTATTGATTCTGACCCTTACTGTCTGGTAAATGGTAACAAGATTCTTGGAGATATCTTTTATACACTTTTCACTCTACTTCAACATCAAAATTAATTTGATCTTGGTGTATTTTATTTTATTGTGGTCATAGGTCAGTCCTGTAGATGGCATTGTTTTGAGATTTGGTGAATTGCGAGGAGCAGGGGCCATGATTGAGCAAGTGAAAGGATTTTCTTATTCAGCTTATTCTCTTCTCGGTGCAAACTCGTTTCTTCCGATGATTGCTGCAGAGTATGCAAGGGAAGAAAATGGTGAGGAAGAGAACACTATGAGAGATGAGACACAAAGGTCATGGTGGAGAATATCTCTCGCTTCTCCTAAGGTTAGAGATACAGCAAGGTATAGTTTAAATGTTTTTGCTGCAACTATTTGTATTGATATTCAATGAATTACCTCCTCTTAAAGTTTAAACTGTTAGAGAGGGACAATTTTATTTACTTGAAAATTGTCTTAAATGCAATCGATCACAAGCAGGTCCAATTCAATTTTTCAATTAAAAAACCTGACAAGTGCACAACTTCAGGAACATAAAGACTTGAACTTAGAACCTTCACTTGTCTTCATTCTGTGTTGAAACACCTCCTCTAAAAAGAAATATTGAACCACTTCATCTAAAACTTAAGTTGTTGAAGAGGGGATAATTTTTTTCGTATAAATTATGTAAACAACAATATTTAGTGATAGATGCTTACATGAATCTTTGGGAGCATATATAATCAGTTTGTTCCTATCCACAATTATCTAAAAGAAGAACGGTGGTTGATAGATACTGGATACTAAAAGAAGAAGATAAATCTCGTCTGTTAGCTTTTGGGAATTTTCCTCTACATAAGCATGCATACTGGAAAACAAACAAAAATGATATTGCAACAGAAAGAGAACAAATGAAATGCAACTTTAAGTTGTCAGTTTAATTTGAATGCAGCCCAATGAAAGGCCTCTTTTACTGCGTTATTTACTTGAAGCCCGGTGACTATCATCGGGTACACTCTCCAGTTGATTGGAACGTTCTTGTTCGTCGTCATTTTACAGGTAACTATGTATTTGTTTGTTTTGCCCATTGATTAATTGTTGTTTATAATTTCATTCTTTTACTATTATTCTTTCCGTGGGACACTTTATAACTACTCAATCTTGCACGTGGTTACTGTCCGCTAGAAGGAACAGATATTTAGCCCATGTTTGGCTAATGTTTATAAACTATTTATAATCGGTCAAACTACTTTTTATCCCTATAATTTTTGGGACCTTGAAGTACTAACCATTTATCTATCACTCATTTTCTATCTATTTATAATTTAGGATTTGTTTGGCACAACTTTTTTGGAAATAATTTTTCATCAAACTCGTTTTCAACTTTATATTCTTCCAATAAAATAATTTTGCACATGAATCATAACTTTTCACTGCCTTTTAACTACATTCTCAAAAAAATCATTTTTTTTTACTTCAAATAATCTATCCCAAAGAAGCATTTAAACCCATTTATAAACAACTCCCAAACATGCTCTTAATTTTTGACTTCTTTATTTTATTGGTTGTTATTGGGCACTATGAAAATTGATAGGGTATTCCATAGAGTTATTTATTGTCCTTTAAATTTAAAAGATTTCATTTCAGCTTTGGGATTCCTTCTCCCTTTCTGGTTCTATAGATGAAGGGATATCATGCCAAGAAAGTTTATCTTTTACACATCTTATAATTACTTGTATTAGATTATTTTCGTAAGAAAAGTTGATGAAATTGGAGTTTTAAATTATTTTTTAGTTAGTATTTTCTTTATTAAAGAAATTCAATTCCGATTAGGACTTCTAATTTTGGTTATTATTTAGATGTTAGTTGTTAATTAGGATTAGTCATTAATTAAAGTCGTTAATTAGGTTTTTTACTTGTTATAAGTAAGGGCTGTAGCCTTAATGGAAGAAGAGTTGTTTTTACAATTGAAATAAAATATTAATTATTAACATTTTCTCCAATTTATCGGTCCTAAATCAGTATCATTAGAATTAACGATTTTGCGGTCAAGTTCAAGAATTCGGTATTCTTTGTGAAGAATCAACGAATATTTGATTCCTAAAATCACGATATTCTTGGTGAATGAACGTGTTTTTAGATCGTTATTTCTGTTTGTCATTACTTATCTCTTTTGCCACCCACTCTTTTTTCATGCACGAATCAAAGGGTTCGATGTCTACATTTTTGGTATGCTCAAGAATCAACAGAGACTAGAAGGCTATCATGTTATGGTATTCATTTGGAATCAACGAAATTTTGATACTGCGTTCGTCATTATATTTCTATCACTTCCACCCTACATCAAAAGTCCTATAGGATTTGCATAAATTAAAATCAAGAATTACTTCATCCATAAGCTCAGTTATGTGAAACCATGAGTACTCCAGCAACAATAAGTTCTTGATGCAACACTAAAAGTGTATTCGAGGTGAAAAATTATGGTCATCTTACTAGACGTTGCAAATTGATTGAGAATAGATTCGATTGATGTCATGTTCATTTTTTGTATTGTTGTTCAACCATCTATTCATTTTATGATTGACTAAAGTTAAGTCATATTACCTATCAAAAAAAAAAAAAAGTTTATGTTATATAATTTTTTTCATGCAATTTTCTTGATTCTATTCTTATTTTCCTTCCTGCTTGGCAGGTCATCTTTTCCCAATGAACGAGCGTGCCACAAGAACTATCAGAAACCTGTACATTGAAAACGAAAGGGTAAACCTTGACTCACGTGCCAATAATACATTTCTATGATTCAGTATAGTCGTGATTCTGCTTAGCAATGTGACATGGACAGATGCTGGCAAATGCTTTTGTTAGTGGTATCTGTGCATGTGGTGACTGCATTAAGTATCGAAGTGAATTAGTTTTTCTTTCTTTGAACTACTTGTGAGGACTTGGGAGCATAAAATATTTGATGAGCCACTTTGAATTTTAAGATTCTATTCGGTGCAACAAACCTCATTCCGCCACTACATGAAGTCCTTTTCACCACTCTATTTGATTAACCACTACATCGACTAATAGATCTAATGAAATCAAATATATGCAACCACATCAAGTCATGTAAAATTATTCAACTTCTCCCTCTTATAATTTATTGTACGACATTATATTGCTTTTATGAAATGAGATGATCTCTACGCATGTCCCAACCACCTGACTTGTCATACTCTTCATTTATTCTCAGTTTGTTTCACCTCTACGTGTTGGTGTATATCATCATTACCATAAATAGATCTAATCTCCTCCAATCAATATGCCAGTTTAGATGCCATTGTTTCTCTTATGAATGAGATGATATCTACACATGTCCCAACCACCTGACTTGTCATTCTCTTAATTTATTCTCTTTGTTTTACCTCTATGTGTTGGTGTATATCATCATTCTGTAAGTAGATCCATTCCTCTCCTATCAATATGCTAATTTACGTGCATGGAGTCAAAAAGCGAAGTAGATATCGTGTCTGCAACAGTTCAAAGACGACTAATTGTTATGATTCTTTTATCTTGGACATAAAAAATCTTAAAAAGTTTTCCTTACCCTAAAAGGAGCCTTTTGTTACAATTTTGCTTTCCATATTTTTAATTTTTTTTTTTAAAAGAGCCTCATCCTGAGTGCTCATTTAGTGGCCTTAGCCGGCGATCCTAATCCTTGGGGATGTGTTAATACCTCTAAGAAACTTTTTAGTTTTTGCAGATAGCTTAGTAGATTGATTTGATTGTAGTTTTGGAAGCCCCGGTCTAGTCACTAGGACTTGTTCAGATCACGGTGTATAATGTAGGATAAGTCACCTGAAGAATGTACGTGGAGTTAAAATTAAAATATTAGTTCACAGAAGGTTAATGCTGTGTATCTTGTGCACTTCCTAGTGAGTTTCCTGGTTTCATGAATTGCATACTTTTGATGAACTCAGCTCACTCCAACTGCCCAGAATCTTAAATTCTAACTACAGGATCATGCCAAAAACAATTAATCTATTATTCACCTCTAAATTTGACTTTATTAGTATTTTGACTCTTTCTTTCATGTCTTCTTGATGTCATCACGTGATTTGGTTTTTCTGTTTACAAGTACTATTGTTACTAGCAATGTTTTGATGTTGCAAAATCGTGAACACACCTTAGAGACAAGAAGGCATAGTATATAAATTGATTTTCCTATTTAACTGGCTAGCATTTCTTCATACGAGTTTAGTATAACTCCATCTCAATCGCCTCAAGTAGGTTCAAATGAACTAATGACGTGCTTCTTCTGTCATTTGAAATCCATTGAACGGAATTTCGGCTGGAAATAGCAATTGGTCCTTAATTGAGTCCACTTTCACCTGGAATTCTATATATATGGATGTTGTCCTAACAAATCATTACAATGACCAGGTTGTTCTTGAAGGCCAGTGGGGAGAAGGTTTCATAGCATTGGCAGCAATTGGTGCAACAAATATTGGTTCCATTGAGGTAGATGGCTATACTATTTTCAATAAGAGTGATTTTTTTCCTGATACATATTATGGAAATTAAAAACTGAACTACACTTTTGGAAGAGCCTGCATATGGTCTCTTAATAAGATTACTAAAGTAGGAGAAGAATCAGAATACTAAAGAATCTGGTTTTCTATACTTTCTGACAATTAGTGAATCATTTTTACCTGGTTTTATAGAGAAGTATGATGCTTGATATATACAATGATCCAAAAATGATTTTAATCTGCACCTTGCACCCAAAAAGGTGTATTGATATTAAATATGCACCTTATCATTTTGGATGAATTAATGCTGAATGAGCAGATTGCACTTCGATAAGTTATTTATATTGATAGTAAGGTAAGACAGCATAATTACAAAAGTAGCCATTGAGAAAGCATGAACTTTGGATAATTTACCATAATTGTCATCTGGTAGAAAAATAAACTATATGAAGATGCACAGTTCTTAATAAACTTCGTTAATATTTGGTTTTAGTTTCCAACGCGTATTTTATTGGTATTGTTTTGTTGTTTTTTATTCTTACCTGTCAAAAACTATCTGATTTAGAATTTCACGTTTTATTTCTTCTTCTTTTTCCTTCAAGTAAATAAATCTCTTAATGTTTCATACACTATAGCTTTATATTGAACCAACACTGCGGACAAATCAGCCCCAAAAGAAACTGCTACATCCATTGCCTCCAGAAGAACGGGTTTATGAGCCTGAAGGGACTGGGATCATGCTTAAAAAGGGGGATGAGGTAATGAAGGCATTTTTTTCATTTGCTGTAAAAGATGAAACACCTCCATAGGTTTTTACAGCTTTCTGAACGGGAAAATATCTTGTCAAAGTTTGAATAGAGAATTGCCTATAGTGTTGTTCAAACCACGATATATATTAGTTATTATATCCTTGCAAAGAACTAGAAAATGGCTTAATTCGTGAAGAACTTTGGATGTGCGCACGCACACATTATTTTCTTCCATACGCTTTCAGAAGATTTTGTTTTTGTGAATGGCCTTCTCTTGTGAGAACATTTGCTAAATTGCGTCTCATTTTCCACCTTGATGATGTAAAATTTAACAAGATTACTTCTTATAATGCCTAATGTCACAACTTGCCCGTGATTAAACTGAATATAAACTGCTGGATCGTTTGGCCTTAAATCCTTGCAGATAGCTGGTTTCAACATGGGATCAACAGTTGTGCTGGTATTTCAAGCTCCAATTTCACAAGCATCTACAGGAAAAGGTAATTCCTCGGAATTTAAGTTTTGCGTAAAGAGAGGTGAAAGAATCCGTATGGGAGAAGCACTCGGAAAGTGGCATGGGTAGAGATTGATTAACTGCGATTAGCATGCATCCAAGTTATCAATTTATGCGCTTCCTCCAGTCGTTTGCTGCAGATTGGATCATGTTTGGCTTAAAACACCAAGATGATATGCAAGATATATTCCCGAGAATCTTTTGCAGGCATCATGATGTTAGTTTTTTGGACATTTGCATTTGGATTAATTGAATAAATAATTATATTTTAGTGAAGTTTTTCAAATTATGAAATTTTGGTACCTTGAGGCTTGCTTAATATTTTTTTATTCAAATTAGTTTGATCATATCATTTTAATAATGGTTTGGCAAAATTCTTAATAGTTGGTTATAAAAATGGATTGTGTCCACAAATTCCTCTCCTCTAATCTTTACTACTACGCCCACTACATGTCATACCCTTTGAATACAAGTCTAAGGCAAGATGCAAAAACAAGGAAAATACAATTTGAATTCCCATACACAATAATATAATATGGGAATGGGGAGTATTTCGTCTACCACACCGATCCATAACTCGGTTGTTTTTTGAGAAAGGAGCATAAAATCAACATAAAGTCCTAGGACGAGTGATTCTAATAGAATAAATATTACAAACTTGAGAAGTTAGCTATCCTTTTCAAAAATTACAAAAAGACGAATAAATATAAATTCATATATATAGAGCGTAAGAGGGAAAGATTATGTAGTTTTTAAAACAAGATGAAATCGAGTTTTTCTATAATTGTTACGTGATATGTTGTCAAATTTTTAATGGTAGTTGAATCGTCTTACCATCAAATTTACTTATTTTGATAATCTATGTTATTGTAAGAAAATTAATTTATCCCAAACAAGCACTATATCCATTTGAACTCGTGATGTTATATAGCAACACTAATTTTAATATGATTAAAACTCGTCCAAGCATTGCATTAAATAAGCTAAAGGAAATAAATAAGCCACATTATATACAAAAGAAATTAAAGAAATAGTTAAAGAGATAATTCAAGAGGTCCTCAAGAATCAACATAAAGACGATGGAACCAACTTGATAATACGTTATTATTGTCACGAAGAAGAAATTTCAAATTCTTTTTTTTTCTTTCTTAATTCACATAAGATTGAATCGGAGATTAAGAAGCTACAAACTTTCTTTGGTTGTGCTACAAGTACATAATATGTTTACATAAAGCATATGATTGGGTCATAAATTCTTCAACCAAATAAAAAAGAAAAATTTATTCTGTCTTTTTGACACTTTATCTGTATGTAAATCATTATATAACTGCTAATGTACAAGTAGCATTATTCAACTTTCTATTACATATCCATTGCAACTAGCATATGGATTTTTTTTTTTACTAGAGCTATATGAGATAAAAATCCCAAAGATTGAAGATATTGCTAATTAAAATGTCATCCAAAGTGTCATGCAGTGAGAATGCTTATCCCCCCATTCGGCACAGCAAAGACGCTAACAGCTAAGCGCGATGCCTATTTTACCAATAGTGCACTAATGATATATGATCATATGCAGGTATTCTCCCTAACATCCTACTCGTAGCATGCGTGTATGCCAGTTATACGGGCTTGCCGACCTCAAAATGAGGATAAGGCGGCCTTGAGGCGTTGTACCTCGGGAGCCAAACCTGCGGTCCGTGAAAGTTGGTATCAGAACAGGTCCGCTCGAGCATGCGGTGTTGTTATGAGACAATGTCGTGTGTTCCTGTGGAGAAAAGATTTTGGGCCACGGATCGTGTAGGCAAGCTAGTGGAACACGACGAAGGAAGCTATGGGCAAGAAAGATGAAGAAGGGCAGCGTTGCGCAATTGTCTAGGTGCCTTTCAAGGAGTTTTCGATGAGCGCACCTTGCAGGGATTTTCGACATGCGTTGAGGTGCTACGATTTGGAGGCCGTCCACCAGAGGAACCAATGCTCGGAGAAGTAGAGGGTGAAGGTTGGTGTCGAAGACAGTAAGTACGAGTTACTGTAAGTTTGTGAATGTCTGTCCATATGGAGTGGTGCCGTTGTTATTCTTGCAATGAGACGGATGATTGCGAAACTCACTTCTCACTACGAGGTAAGCGAATTCAAATGGGTGAGAATGCTTATCCCCCAATTCGGCACGTCAAGGACGCTAACAGCTATGCGCGAGGCCTATTTTACCAATAGTGCACTAATGATATATGATCATATGTAGGTATTCTCCCTAACATCCTACTCATAGCATGCGTGTATGCCAATTGTTCGGGCTTGCCGGCATCACAATGAGGGAAAGGTGGCCTTGAGACTTTGTACCTCGGGAGCCAAACAACTGGCATACACGCATGCTATGAGTAGGATGTTAGGGAGAATACCTACATATGATCATATATCATTAGTGCACTATTGATAAAATAGGCCTTGCGCCTAACTGTTAGCGTCCTTGCCGTGCCGAATGGGGGGATAAGCATTCTCTGCATTCGGCACGGCGTGACACAAAGAGAAGTTTTCAAAACACCCACAACTTCATTAAAAAAATTTCTTTCGCTGCTGCAAATTGGTCTCAACAATTTCCAGATAGTCGAATCATTAATAACCACAAAGCAAATAAACACCGCAGCAATATCTCAGCAGAGTACAATGCCATTTAGTCAAAATAAAATTCATTTTTTACTTGTGTCGAGTAGGGTAAAAGTAAAAAATATAAGCAAAACTTTAAAAATAAGTTTCTGTTGAAAAAATAATAGATATCCGTAACTTTTCAATCTTATCAGAAAACTTGAAAATCAATGTTATTTTCCACCTTTGCAATCAAACGGATCCGAAGATTTCAGGGTGAAATGGGTGATGAGTGTTTGGGAAATCTGAGCTGGCAATTCATTTTTGTGTTGGAGTGATTTAACTGCCAAATGTAAAGTCCGCTCATTTGACATCATTGAATTTTTCTAGGTATACAAACTATGAAGCCACTGATGAATGCTATACATAGACTGGATACTTCCCACCTCATTTAAGAATAAGCTAATGAACGAATGATACATTACATTGGCAAATAACAAATGGATATCATAAAGTTTATCAATTCAGAAACAGAGAAATAATTTATACCAAAAAGGGGTAGGAAAATCATATCCATCCTTATTGTTGGCTAGTTAATTTCCTCAAATGAAGCATAAAAATGCCAATATAATTCTTCTCCCACTGACTCTTTAAATATAGAGAAAACTAACCCATTAATACATAAAATGCTCCAATGATTCTTGTAACAACTAAAATAACAAATAATGAAAAATCTTACATTTATAAGATAAAATTATACTTCCTAAGCATTAAAAATAAAGTTGTAACATGTGTGTTCTAGAGATATAGTAGTTTTTTTTAGTAACTTTCGAAGTGAGTCTGCAGATTAGAAAAAAAAGAGAGTAAAATGCCCCAACCACAAATTTTACAATCAATTGAGTGGTACCATTTATTTTCATTTCACTGGAAGAGAAGTATCCTACACCCAAGATTCTTAGTTTCTTCATTTTTTTTATTAGATTTTTGTCTCCTTATTGGTTCATTGGACGACGAACTGAACTCTACTTATGTTTTGGGTAATGCTACCATTTATTTTCATTTCATTGGAAGAGAAGTCTCCTAAACACCCAAGATTCTTCGTTTCTTCATTTCTTTTATTTGGTTTTCGTCCCCTTGTTGGATCATTGGACGACGATCTGAACTCTACTTATGCTTATTCATAGCTTTAGTTCAAGAACTCGGGCATGGATTTTTTGTGGAGCTAGAACAGTCAGGTTAGCTAAGAGTGTCAACTCAAAAGGTCCCAGCTTGTGGCACTAGAAGCCAAGCTAGAGAGACTAAAAGCCACCCAATAAGGCAATTGAGGTTGAACTAAAGACCTCTGCCCATCACAGGGTAAAGACATGGAGATTATCCCAGATCAAGAACAACAAGGATACCAGCACGCACACACCAAGCTCGGCAAAGCCAACATGACCCGTGAAGATGTCAATATCAGCAACCGTGTATGTCCTAATTGTCCGGAGATGCAATAGTCTACCTAACCTATTAGTTTGACCCCCCTTATATAAAACCCCCTGGGAATTGGGAAATTTGGAATAAGAAGAAGAAGACAACTCTCAAGCTCACTGTTATTCCACCACTGTGTAATCGGGCACTGCTGCTACCTCCAGTGGCCAAGGTCCTAATTGGTTGCAGATTACACTCATTAAAATCCAATTTTGACAAGTACCATAAGTACCTCAAGAATCTTCTCATTGTTTGCCCAAATTCTTATGTTTGACATATAGCAGGGTATTTCTTTTCTCTACAATTTATAGTTGACACAAGCTCTTCACAAATTTGATAATCAGCTACATGATTCTTTACAGTTATGGACTTCCTGATAATATCTACATTTTCAACTAACTAATCAATTGGTAATTTGAACGGTACAAGGAAAAAAAATGTGCAACTCATCCTTATTCTAATAATTTGAATGGTAGAAATAACAAAAGGCATAATTTGCAAGACTAGAACATAACAAAACATGTTCATGTAAACTCCAAGATACACAAGGAAAAAGCAAAGTTGATAGCACCTGTGCAATTAAACATGAATATTACAGTCAAAGAACAATAAGTAGCCGTATGTTCGGAAAACAACATGCATATCCTCCTATGACCAAGAATTCAAATGAAAACAACAACCTATGCTGAAGTGTGCAAGTTCAGTCATTTACAGACAATACACAGATAATTCTGTTTCTTCTTCATCTTCCTTTTCTTCCTTCTACGTCATACTAATGGACCCAAAATCAAAATCAACCCTCAAGTATACTTCTATATCAAAACCTTGTTCCTGTAACACGAAATCAATCATCCATTCAATCTCAATCCATTTAAAATATCACTAATCCAAACATCATGAGCATAACAAACGAGTACGCAAATGCTCATATTAAAAAATATTTCATATGTATACTTAATGGCATAAATCTAAGAAATAACATAAGCTAGACAGGATTTCCCAAAAAAAAAAAAAAAATCAATATTGGACACAAAATAGATAAGCTGGGCTTTTGGCTAATATTCATAAAAGTAATTTTGATTTTTTTTGTCTTATATAACAATATGAGAAAGGCACACCTACGTCTGTTTGGAATATGAAGAAGAGGAAGGAACTCTTTTGTTGCGAAACATCATATAACCCACAGGCACCACCACTCCCAGCATCATTATGGTTGCTCCGATCAAGTATCTGAGTAGGCTCGGTGGCTCCACCTCCACCAATACTGTTCTCCTCAACTGCATCTCAACCCCAATCAAAAGACCCATTTCAATTTAACCCTAAGTTATGAATAAACTTGTGCAAATACGAATTCTTTCTGGCCCAAGAAGACCCATTCAATTGAACACTAAATTATGAATAAACTGACGCTTATACATATTCATTCTTGCGCAAGAAGGTCCATTTCGATTGTACACTGAATTGTGTATAAACTTTGCTCAGATGCGAAAAATTATTATTGTAAATTGTGAGATGTGATCTGGATCCAGAGAGACAGAGGAACTTACCGGCATGATTCTTATATTTATTTATGGAGTGAGAATCAATTCAAATCGATTTCAGTAGAATCTGTAGCAGAGGAAAGGGGTGAAATGAGATTTGTAAAGTACCAACGACCGATCAGGTATTAGTCGCGTTAATTACTTGGATGATTATTGAAGTTTCTTTAAAGTATTGATTGAACTTAGCCCGATAAATTTTCATTCTCGTTCTATTCTTAATTTTCAAACAAACATTTTTCAATAAAATAATATTTTTCAACACTTCAATAGTTTTTCTTTCTTTTTCAACCATATATTCTCCATCAATTTACTATTTCAAAATACGTTCCTCCAAAATAATGTGGCTCAAACACATCCTTAAAAAAAGTATCTGGGTGAATTTCGTCCCATTACTACTTCATAATTCAACTTAAAAATGTATTACAATAGTCACTTAACTATGCATCGTTTACCTATTCATCAGTCAAGTGAAAAAATTCGTTAGCTCCAACAAACAGTATCGACTTGAGTGATGGATAGGTAATACGGTGCATATTTTAGTGACTATTGAGATGTATTTTTAATTTCAGTATTAACTAGTAGTGTTTTGCGAAGTTCAGTGATCATTGAAATATATTTTTAAATTCAGTTATTAATTATTAACACTTTGACATACTTAAGTAACTATTGATATAATTTCTTAAAATCTAGGGCAATTACTCTTGGCCAGGCTCAAAGCCAGGCCAAGAAACAGGGTACCATATTGGGTGGGGGGGGGGGGGGGGGGGGG